CTTCGAAAGCCCTCTGTAATTGGGCGCGCATGCCTGTTGAGGGCCCAAAACTAAGAGAGGGATAATAAATAATAAATAAATACTCAAGATCGTGATTATGCACAGGAAAAAATTGTCAATGTCAGTTTATTTACTCGCGGTTTGGTTTTAAAAGCAGTTCTCCTACTCGAAATTGTTCCTTCGAGTACATTTTATCACCCTTAAATAAACGGCCATATTACGAATCAGGCTGCTAATTGCTGAAACAATTGTAGGGTTGCCTGCGCACATTTCACAAAAAAATTAACTCACTTGATGTGGAATACTTGCACTTTCTCCCGTCATCTGAAAACATGCTCTACAGAAATTAAAAGACTCAGAAAGGACAATCTTCAATTCCACCAACTCTAACCCATGAAATTCAAAAAAAGGTTTTCGCCCTAAGGCGAGTAACTTCAGCGCATTTTTCATGCATTGATAAGTACTTCCCAAAAGGCGCTATGTGCGCTATGTTTTTCTTTACTAGGGGCATCTATGGTTCAAAGAAATATCTCCATAAATAAGAAAGTTGACGTTTCGTAGTATGCGCACATTTTATAATATGCTATATGGGATATCTTTATTTTTACTAGAAGCGTCTATGGTTAAAATTAAAGAGAGATCATAAGTAAAAAATGTTGGCATTTTGCAGACTGATTTTTACTATGTGCGATATGTTTGCCTTTGCTAATGACATTTGTAGTTTTCAATTATTACTGCATGTGATATGTTTTTCTTTACTGGAAGCATCTATCTTCATATCTTCATGAATAAGGAAGTTGGAAATAGACTGCGTATACGCACATCAAATGTTTACAATATGAGATATGCTTGCCTTTAACAGAAGCATCTGTGATTAAAATTTCAAAAAGATATGTCGATAAATAAGACAGTTGATATTGCGCATGCGCACATGAATCTGATATGCGATACGTTTGCTTTTACTAAAAGCTACCGGATTTAAAAAGAATGAACTAAATATATTGAAAACTGTGTGAGCTATGGGAAATGCGTTAAAAATATCAAATTTTTGTCTTCAACATTAGTTTTTTAGGCTGCAAGAGAAAGGTACCTACACAAAAATGATTCGGTCAGTTTTCCATTCGAATAATTATGTTTCCGTTAAATAGCGTTTTCGTTTTCCTAATTGCTCGGAACCGTGAAATCGATCGCAATAAAAGAAACATTTACTTTAATATCTACTCTTTAACCATTATCACAACTATGGACATCCTCATAAAACGCACCATATAAGTGATCTCAATATTGTAGGGTTGATACCTACCGTTCATTATCTTCTCAGTGTTAATTCTTGAAAAATTATGGAACTAATGTTCCAATTCCAAGGGTCTAAACGTGATAAAACTAAAAGGTCATTTTTAAATGTGAAAACATTTCAATGGAGGGGAGACAATGTTCAGTTGCACTCTTCCGATAAATTCGTTTTTTTTTATCTTACAGAGAACAGAGGCGTGTAAAAGAAAAATCAAACTGTGCCTAAATGTGGGCAAATTTGCCATTTCTAACGATTCAGGTTTGTTTTACAAATGAACAAATTCGGGCCGAAAGCTTTCGCATCTTAATTAATCCGTTTATTACATAGTTTATTGTAAACTAGTTAATGTAAACTGAATTAGGTAATTTAACCGGTATCCAATGATTAAACATTCACGAATTTGGGAGTAGTCGTTAGCATAAGGAAATTTGTTGAGTTCCCGAGCCCTTTTAGCGGGAATCAATGTCTCTCATTCATGTTAAAATAGGGTACATAAGTTAATTGACTCTGTGATTAATGATAAATCATAACGTCGCAATGTAATTTTACACCACAAAAGAAACCTTCACTTTTGTAATCCGGAAATTTCCTAATTTCATAGTCCACCAAACATGTGACTCGAAAAACTCGATGTCAAAGCATCGATTTCTATAGTGGGTTTTCAGAAATTTTAATATTAAGGTTACCGAATAAATATTACAAGCTCTGTTTCGTAATTGTATTTTTCAAGAGTAATTAGATATTTATTGAGTTTGCAAGGGTCCTTTTGATATTTAATCATCATGGAAAATATTCGTTGTGCTTGTGCATGTAAAGTATACGGCATGAATACAAATTTCCAGCTGCAGCAATATTGCTCATTATATTAGAAGCGTGTTTTATATCTTTCGGCATATGTAGGTTAATCATTCCAATTTGAATTCTGGGCGGCTAGTATAATTAAGGTCTGCATTTATAAAAATCGAAAAATTTGTCATTGAGCTGCGATGTGGATTTCATTAATATTTATTATGTGTTTATAGAAAAGGACGTGGCATTGGAAGCACAGGGGTGAAAATTAGAATCGCAAAATTTCGTTGTAGAGAAGGTTTCGTTATAAATAGTTCAACAACGACTTCTTCGTGGGAACAAAAAGGTGGAATTGCAAATTTTGTTTGTAAGCGTAGATATTTGCGAATTACCCGCATTAGGTACATGGGTAATCCTAACGCATCGCTTTAAAATAAATATACGATTCGCCCGAAACGTAAATCGTAAAGGATTATTGAAATGATCAGGGCTCGTCTCATAAAGGATATCACCCACAATTGACAGATTTAGGTTCACGCCCTCTGTTGAAAATTTGAAATCTCTCATCTCAAAAGTAGGTAGGTACAGTCATAGAGCATAGAGTAAATTTTCTGTATGGTACAGCGTACAGCACATTGTTTGATGAAATCTTAATGAAATTAAAAATTTGCGCTGTTTTTAAAACTGAAGTCAGTATGACCTATCGGGAACTAACCTTTTGAACATTTGGAGTATCTCCCTAAAAGCTCTTGCATAATAATCTTACGAACTTCAAGATATTTCAAGGCTATTAGCTTCTAAAGACCCTCAAGAGTCACCTGAAAGATTTCGAAGCATTAAAAACCTCCCCAATGGTTCTCAGGAGTCTTCTTTCCTAGAGGCTTTTGGAGATAAATCTATAAACCGCTTTAATTGTTCAAGAGAATCGCCCTGCGCCTTTAGGATATATTATGAGTAATTAACAGTCTTTAGACACCTTTTAAAAGCGTGCGCCCCAATCGCAAACAATCTCTCAAGAGATTTCGTGAGGTTTAAAGGGTCCCTAACAGTTTGCTAGTAGCTTTTATATATCTTAAACCATTCTTTAAAAGTTGTTGTGAGTCTTTAAGGGACTTTCAAAACGATTAAAAGCTTTAAGCTACGAATAAAGCTATTTATTAATCTGCGAATGCCTTCCAAAGTCTCTAAAAGTTTTCAAAAGTCTCCAAGAGGATACCTAATGGACATTTCCCCCCCTCCCCCAACTCGATTTACTCTACTAAATTCAAATAGTACTCATATATTTTTGATCAATTTACACTGAACTCTTTTAAATAGGTCGGGATTTACCTCCAAGATCCATCAGACACGAACGTCTAAAAACAATTTCCTAGGCAGATTAAGATCCCGCATTATACTATCAACCGCGGGCCTGAGGAAAACTCCATCCCCAACCTTTTTCCTAACCTCTTTCCATTCTTAATTTTACCTCCCCTTCATCTACCTTTACCCAGGGTCTTTTTGAAAAAATCCCAAACATTAAATAAGCTCGTAGTTTTTCAGTTACTAAAATGCATTTACTTATGGATCACATAAGATTTTTTCGCAAAAATGTGTCGATCGTAATTGTATATTGCACCAAGTTAGGGTCGGCACCCCTGTTGAAACTATACTACTTCAATATCTTAGGATGTGCTTTAATGCATATTTCGATATGCTGTAGGTCATTGTCTATGTATTGGTGGGAAAGATGCGCTACAGGGTGGTTTCTCACTATTAATCACATCAAAGCAACTGAGCCTCGAACTGAGCAACGATCAACAAGAATCCTATAGCTATTTAAATTCAAAATACCTCTCTCTATCAGTCTGGTAAAATTGTTAGCGAATGTTGACATTATTCCTAATAACAAAACACAACCCTTTCCGCAACGCCTACAGCTAAATAATACCCTAAAGATCATGGATGCGGTCTTTTGTATATCGTCTACCTACAACCCTTTCCGACCGAATTGAGGGTAATATGAGAGAGCAAAAGTATTGTAACTCTTGCAAAATACGCCTAGCAAAGGGGCTCACAATTTAAAGCCGTAACACGGTCTTCACCCGTGATTAATTGGAAATTTTGCGTCTATTATAATGCAGTTGGCAGCGGTCCATGTAATTTCGTTCATAATAATTATTCTGGAGTGGAAACTTTGGGTTGTTATCTAACTTGACAAAATTAATTGAGATCAAGAACGTTAGCGTTATTAATTTCGAAATGCGTTTCCTAAATTGCCGATACGATCACTGTGTATCTACAGTTTGTGATCGGTTTATTGGAAAAAAGCATTATTGAAGTAAATTGAAATATAAATTGAAAAAAGAATGCCCTAAATCATACGTTGTATGAACTAGTAGATCTAATCAGAGTAACAGGGTTTATGGCGGAACTTCATTTGCGGTATCCTATATAGCGAAATAAAATGATGATCCTTTTAACAGTAAACAAAAAGCTCAATTTCTTTACGTTTCGTATTTATAATGTAGAGCTCACAATATAATTGTGATAAATAGGCGAATAAATCCAATCTGGGTCGAGTTTTTTCGTCTTTATATTTTTTTGGCGAACTCCAAAAATTGCGGAACGTGATGTGTTGTCAAATTAAGCGATATAACGCTTATTGTTTTGTACATTTTTTATATATAGGACGTGAAGTTCATGAAATGTTCTGTAAATAATATTTCGGAATTCTCCTTTCACATCATCGCTAAAAATTGCGAAATGAATCGATATTTATGTGGAGCTACTTTACATAAATATCAAAAGAAGGGAGAAAAGAGATCAAACGCGTCGATAGCGATGTTCGTGTGTGAGAAACTGTCGGTATTTTTCGCCATAAAATACTCGAAATATTGAGTTTACTTAGTGTTCTAAATATTAACTTTTTTTTTAGGAGAATGGGCGAGAGGCTTTGGATCTCACAGCCTCACCCCTCCGGGGACCGCCACCTGCTACACGATCGAACCACCCTCCACCGATGGTTATACAGGGAGATTTCAGAAAGGTTAATTTCACCTGCATTTTGTTTGTACTTATTTGCGATTAAACTTTTTTTCTTGATTTGTTTTTTTGTTGTTGTGCTTATTCGATTGGGTAAATTTTGTTTACGGGGCTGCCTCTAGTCGTAATGTTGGACGTATCTGTTCAGTTTGAATTTCATTTAGAAAGTCAATATTGGTCAAAGGAAAAGTTTTCAAAGTATGTACTCAATATGGTGGACGTAATATAAAATATACAACCACCAATAATTAATATTCCATCTGAAAACCAGTTGTTAAATTACCGCATCCTCTTTCAGGTTTGCTTTTTTTAATCTCTTTTTATTTTCTCATAAGATTTGTACAAGATTCTGAATCAAAGTTTTGTAATTATCATTTTTCAATTTCCCACAAAACAACAGTTGCGAGAGTAAGAGACGGAGTTACCCCTTTTGTCATGACAGCTTCATACGCCGTAATTTAATGTGAACCTGAGAAATTAATGCTTGAGAAGGGTCAACTAGGGCTGACAGATTTAAACTTTACAATTATTCGTGCCAACAGTATATTTAATTCTTAAAAGACCGAATTGTGATCACTGAGAGGCAGTAAGCCATTTACAGTCAAATTAAGAAAATTAAATTATGTTCATCTTTAAACTCGCCTGTCGAAATAACATTTACTTTATAATTTCTTCATCCCTTAGGGCTTGAACATTTAACTCAGACAAAGTAGAGATGGGTCGGTGTGATTAAGATGTTCTCTTCTACGGCTAGTCAACAAAGCAAAAATAAATAAGTAAGCCGCATAGGCTAACTAACGAAGCGATAATCATTAAATGACCATCCAAATTATAATATTAATTAAAACCTGACTGTATCGAAAGCCTTTATGCACAACGTTATTTCATGGAGTTTCGACGGAATTACAATATTTCTCTCAGTCGTATCCGAGCTCAGAAGGGTGCGGTTTGCCAATAATCTGCAATCAGATTTATTTATCAAATAAAAGGTAGGTCGAAATAGTTAGGATCAGGTATCAAATGATTTCCGAAAGATGCTTTTGAAGATTCACAAAAATGGAAATGCAAGTTTAGTATTGCTGTATGCAATGCCGCCCACAAAACATTTATCTAGCTAGCTCAGAATAACCTTTAAATTTAGAACTGTGATTATTTTCCTCGTAGATGCCCGGTTCAGGTCCAAATGAAAAATCTCAATGTCTCAATTAATAATTTAGAAAAATCTTATATGAAAGTTTTATTCGGATCGAATAAACACAATTAATTGATTGAAAATGACAAAAATTGAATCCGAAACACATTGAAGAAATAAAACAAAATCCCTAAAATAAAGAAAAACTTGTTACCCCGCACGCAGTCGGTCAACAATTAAAATATGAAATGTTAAAATGTACAAGCTCTTCAACCATGGCAAAACTAGCAGTCTCCTTTTCTCGTTGTCTTCAGTATTAAACGAAGACCACTTCTACGACACCAAAATCTCCTTCTTTAACAATTTTCTAGTAAATCGCCAAACACCTACGTCTCCGCAAGAACGCGCAATTCATCGAAACACCTGTGTCCTCGTTATCATTACCAGAACAAGTGCGTTAATTATATTTCGCCTCACAATAAAACTCCTTATCGCAAACGCCCAGGAGCCGAAGCCAAATAAAACGTCCCCCTGAGGTAGTTTACAAACAAACGTTTCATCACACTTGTGATAAACGTAATGCTATCACACCAAATTAGTCCGTTCTGATCAGGAAATAACTAATAAGAAATAGAAGATGAGTTTTGCTATTTACATTTTGACTGCTTACAAAGTTATTCTATTGAGCTCTCGAAATACAGCTCATTAATGCCCAGACGGTAAGAGTTACTGTGTTGGTTTATTAAATACCGTAAGACGAAACTTTAAACTTTCTTCACTAATTACCAGGTCCTAAGACTGTTTATTAATAGTTAATAATGAGATTGTATTCTCTTTGAACTGTAGCTATCCCATCGCGATTTAATCATAAATAATAATCAATTTACTTTCTATTAAACTGCACCTCTAGCATTTATATTAAGCGGAAATAGATGCTAGAAAAACGTTACTACTTAACTACTATATTTAGTTGTAAGAAAAGGGTATGTAAATGGATATTTGCTATAGCAGTAGGTTACAAGTGGCCAATGTGAAATAATCTGTTAAGGTTATTTACAATTTTGGTTAATCAAGTTACATAATTGCCAAAGTTTCTTCCGTTTAGGGATATATCAAAATAGCCATAGAGGAGACACCAACTTGCTCGCACTGAAATAAGTCCACATTTTGGCGCTCATTTATTTATTATTTATTTAGTTTCGTGCCTATTTATTGTGCATCTATTTTCCAATTTTCCGGCATTTGGATTTCGAGAACATAAACATTGTTGGTTAGGGTCCAATTTAATGCTGCCCCCTTATTTCTCAGGCAACCCAAAACCCATGTCACAGTTTGCACCCTTTTTTTCCAATGGTACGTTCATCCTTAAATTTGCTGCTTGGAAAGGGAGGGTACCCAGAACTGTGAATATCTTTATGCTCTAAGCAACCCTTAGATTACCAATTACAAGTAAAATCTCATCCCGTTTTGCAAATACGTAATTTTTAAGAAAATTAACTCTTACTTACGTAGCAGATTTCCATTGCGGGGGTTGTAAATGGTGTTGTGGGTCAAATATTTTTATTTCCTTGATCGGTTATGATTAAAGGATCTACAAGCAACCCTTAAATTACCAATTACAAGTAAAATCCCATCCCGTTTTGGAAATTCGTAATGATTATGAAAATTCGCTCTTACCCTACTTCGCCGTATACAATTGTGGATGTTGTAAATTTTGTTGTGGGTCAAATATTTTTATTTTCAAAATCGATTATAAATAAAGGATCTACAAGCAACCCTTAAATTGTCAATTAAAAAAAAATCTCATCCCGTTTTAGAAATTCGTAATTTTTAAGAAAATTCGCTTTTACTTACGTAACAGTTTTCCATTGCGGGGGTTGTAAATGCTGTTGTGGGTCAAATATTTTTATTTCCTTGATCGATTATGATTAAAGGATCTACAAGCAACCCTTAGATCAATTACAAGTAAAATCCCATCCCGTTTTGGAAATTCGTAATGATTATGAAAATTCGCTCTTACTTCTCCGTATTCAATTGCGGGGGTTGTAAATTTTGTACTAGGTCAATTATTTTTATTTACTTGATGGATTACGATTAAAGGAACAACAAGGAACCCTTAAATTGCCAATTACAAGTAAAATCCAATCCACTTTTAGATATTCCTAATTTTTAAGAAAATTCGCTTTTACTTACGTAGCAATTGTTTTGGATTCTACGCACCAAAATTAATAAGAAAAAGTGTTTTCCCGAGAAATTTTGGTGTAGGCGATTTTTGGTAAAAAAGGAAGGTTATACACTGCCTTTTTTAAGGCCCGCAAAAAAAAATTTTCTCAGATCGACCCGGAAAAAAAATTTTCTTATAGAATGTGGCCTGTAGAATCCATAATTTCAAACAGTTCCAAGATTGGGCTACTAGTTCAAAAGTTACAGCCCTTTGAATTTTTTTCTAGTCTATAACTTTTGATTGAGAAGTCTAATCGAAAAAGTACGAATTGTTTTGGATTCTACGCACCAAAATTAATAAGAAAAAGTGTTTTCCCGAAAAATTTTGGTGTAGTCGATTTTTGGTAAAAAAGGAAGGTTATACACTGCCTTTTTTTGAGGCCCGCAAAAAAAATTGTCTCAGATCGACCCGGAAAAAACATTTTCTTATAGAATGTGGCATGCAGAATCCATAATTTCAAACAGTTCCAAGATTGGACTACTAGTTCCAAAGTTACAGCCCTTTAAATTTTCTTTCGAAATTGGTTTCTAGTCTATAACTTGTGATTGAGAAGTCTGATCGAAAAAGTAAGAATTGTTTTGGATTCTACGCATCAAAATTATAAGAAAAAGTGTTTTCCCGAGAAATTTTGGTGTAATCGATTTTTGATAAAAAAGGAAGGTTATACACTGCCTTTTTTTGAGGCCCGCAAAAAAATTGTCTCAGATCTACCCGGAAAAAATTTTCTTATAGAATGTGGCCTGTAGAATCCATAATTTCAAACAGTTCCAAGATTGGGCTACTAGTTCAAAAGTTACAGCCCTTTGAATTTTTTTTCGAAATTGGTTTCTAGTCTAGAATTTTTGATTGAGAAGTCTGATCGAAAAAGTACGAATTGTTTTGGATTCTACGCACCAAAATTAATAAGAAAAAGTGTTTTCCCGAGAAATGTTGGAGTAGTTGATCTTTGGTAAAAAAGGAAGGTTAAGTATTCAAATACTATGCGAAGTATTCGAATACTTTACGAAGTATCCAAATACTTTGCGAAGTATTCGAATACTAAATATTATAATAAATATTAAGTATTTGAGTTACAAAAACAAATACTGCCTCCATAAAAGTATTTGAATACTTTAAAGGATTTGAATACTAAAAAGTATTTACAAAATCGAATACTGCCCAGCTCTGTCTACAAGCAACCCTTAGATTACCAATTACAAGTAAATTCTCATCCCGTTTTGGAAATTCGTAATGATTATGAAAATTCGCTCTAACTTACTTCTCCGTATTCAATTGCGAGGGTTGTAAATTTTGTTGTAGGTCAAATCAAATATTTTTATTTTGCCTTGATCGTTTTATTATGGATTAAATGTAGCATATTCAATTACAAGCAACCCTTAAATTTCACCAATTAAACTTTCGTAAAATCTCATCCTTGATCGATTTTAGAAATTCGAGTAATTTTTTTTAGAAATTCGGAAATTCGCTCTTACTTACATAGCAGTTTTCCTTTGTGGAGGTTGTAAATGTTGTTGTGGATCAAATGTTTTTATTTCCTTGATCGATTATGATTAAAGGATCAATAACCAACCCTTAGATTACCAATTACAAGCAAAATCCCATCCCTTTTTAGAAATACGTAATGATTATGAAAATTCGCTCTAACCTA